GGCGTTTGGGTGTGTTTGGGCGGGGTTTTCTCTGGGCTGGATGCTGATTGGACACTGCGTCTCAGGATCAACGCCTGGCTCAGAGTCCAGGTGGCGAGGTAATGAGTCTGTGAGGAAAGAGGTGCGGCGGCTGGCGGTTGTTTAGGTTTTCGATGATCCGGTTGGGCGGCAGGGAAACAGCGGTCCAGGTACTCGTGGACCGAAGCTGATGGCTGATCGTCCCGTCCGGCGTCTGACTCCTGAAACAGATCCTCCTTCAGACTTCCTGTCTCTCCTTCCTGTGCGTCTCTGTTTCCTGTCCGATCGCCTTCAGTGATTGTGGGATCATGGTGTACACTCGCCTCTCCGCTCTCATTTCCAGGATCACCTGAAAAATTACAAACGTCCTGGATTATTTTTCTTAGTCTGACGTTCACAGAAGCGTCGACGATTCTGCCTCCTGAGTGATCCTGATCACTAAATCTAACAGGTGAGTTTTAAAAGTTACCTGCAGCCCATAAAGAGACACGAAGCGTCCTCACAGCCATGGCCTGTGGCTGCCTGCACGTTTACAGCTCAGTTAATAAAAAGACCAAAGCAGCAGTGAGTGCTCCTCCCCCCCGTTTGGTCCCTGAACGCCTCACCTGCAGGTCTGAGCTGCCCGTCCCTCCAGGTGAGCTCCAGGTGTCTCCAGCGAGCAGGAGCACGATCGCCTTCCTCTAACCCGGCTCCGGGCTCTGAGGCTGGGCTGCGGGCGGGCGGAGGAGCCCCGAGGAAGACGTGGATCTTTCTCTGGTCGCACATGCTCCCTGCTGGAGACGCGGACGGACGTTTAACCACTTCACTCTAAATGCATGCATGGATGCTTTTTCACAAGTGACCGATTAATCATCAGCTGCTGCACAGAGCCTTTCAAAATAAGAGCTCCACTCGTAAAATGACTGTGAAAAATAAAAAGCATTCAGTTATATAAATTTGGTGCATTTCCTTCAAAACGGGGCTGAAAAAAGGAAACGTGAGTCAGCATCAACAACTGTGGTCACCTGGTCCAGTGTTCCTGCAAACTGCTGTGATTTGTTGTTTTTCCTTAAAAAGTCCTTCAAATAATTAAACTTCTGAAAACTAGTTGTCAGCAGTGTTTCTCTCTCATAAAGTCAGTGTTTATTTGGGCTAAAAGAAGATATTTAATGATAAAAATGTTTAATTCTCTCAATCTAAAGAAAACGTAAAATGATGCACTTTATTCTGGAGCTAAATCAGCTCAATGCACAGAAGCACAAAAAGTAAACAATAATAAATAAGTTTTACCAACAAAATATTGATTAAATGACCCGTCTGTGAGACTCAGACTGTGAGACCTGCAGAAAGTCTGGACTCTGACAGGAAGTCAGGACGTCTGCGAAGCTTCGTTAGGACTGAAACGTCTCTCAAACTCAATAACAAGTTACACAACAATGAGCGAGCAGAAACACTGATGGTGTGTTTCACAGCTGGGAACAATAACAGGGCCGTAAACAGCCCTGCAGCAGCTCCACCAATCAGAGCGCGAGACGCCGGGGGAGGGTCACCCATCGGTGAAGGTTTGCAGAGGCGCAGACACGTTTTAGACCCGCAGCCTTCAAAAGCACTAAAATCACTTTGAATCCAGACCGACAGCTTCTGTTTTAGCATCGGGGTCAAAGGTGAGCGCACCTGCAGCACCTGCAGCACCTGCAGCACCTGACGCCGCAGCCACTCCCCCACACCGAGTAACCGTAACGACCTCACGTTCATTTTCTGATTCACACAACAGAAAACGGTGACGTGCTCAGACTGCAGATACCTGCCAATCAGCAACATCCAATTCAAATCCTAGAATTTCACTCTGGCCTGGAACTGGAGAAAACACAGACAGGAAATGCCCTTTCATAATAAAGCCATTTTTAATGACGTTCTTTTTTTATTTGCTCAGTTAGCAGCTGAAGCCAAACATGGCCGACAGCATTTTCCTGCTGGCGTCTCTTCCTGTGTCTGGTTTGCCTGCAGACTCACGCTCCTCCCGTAGGATCGCATCGCTCGGAGCTCGTGCAGTCTCCTCTTCCTCACGCGGGTATCGTGTTCTCTTCTTCCTTCAGTGACTGATGTTCCTGCACTTTGTTTTGGTCCTCCAGCGTTTCTTCTTCTGGGGTTTCACCCTGCAGCTGGACACTGAGCTTCTTGGAGATCTCGTCGACCATCTTCTCGCTCACGTTTCTCCTTCCTCCTGCACGCAGAGCTCTGTGCTGCTCCTGGATTTGAACGTCCAACACCTCCAGCTGTTTGACCTCATTGCTCAGCCCTCTGTAAAGCGCCTCAGACACTTTGTCTTCTAACCTTTAAGACGTTGAGACGTCATTTTTAACGCTTCTCTGTCTGACCTCCAGCTGCAGCGTTTTCTTTAGAAATCATGGCTGAGTCATGGAGCGAACTCTTCAAACAGCATTTCCATCAAAGCGTCTTCCATGTCCACCTTTGACTGAAGCTCCGGACCTCGATCTCTCCATAGAGCTTCTCCCTGTCGTCCCTCCAGGTCACTCAGGTACTGTAAGCCTGCTCTTTCAGCGAGTCAAAGCAAAGCTGAGCGCGCTCCCTCTCTGACCTTCTGAGTGGTTTAAACCTGCATTCTCTCTGATGTCCAGCAGGGGGCAACATAGTCTAAGCATCATCGTGTTCATTGCATTTCGCATTGAGCTGCCTTTAGCTTGGGTAGCGTTAGCATTTAGTTTGTTAATTATGGGTTAACTTTGTGAGTGAGCCACAGTCTTGTGAATAATTGTTTTATGGACACATTACCGCCCACTCGTGGTGTCAGAGGTACATTACTATGGCGTCATTTTAGTGCCTCTACTCTGAGCGCACGTAAAAAAATTGCACAAATGTTGCGTGTTGTGGAGAAAGTTATTTTGAGCAAGCAAAAGTTTAATTTGAGTTAACAAAATTAATTTCTGCGTGCAAGAAATGAATTACAGTGTTTGCGACTATCCACGTACAAACACAATAACAGCCCCTCTGGCTCAGCTGTTGGCGTTTCTCTCGCTCAGATCTCTGTGCTCACAGACGTCTGCACACCTGCTCTCAGCGTGTCGCTCTCAACATCTCTGCTTCCTGCGCTCGACTCTCTGTACACCGTTATATTTGTGCCACAAAACCAACCAATCACAGACTTGGATGCAAAAATTCTGATTGGCTGTTTTGGTCTCCAATCAGCTCGCTAGCTACTGTAGCCAAACCCAGGCAAATATCCCAGAATGCATTTCTTCCAAAACCCAAATGAGGTTTGCAAAAGTGCTCAGAAGTGTGTGCTCAGAATAGAGGCACTGAAATAACGCCATGCATACATCCTAACCAGCAGTAGAAAAATGAGGGAACAAATATATGATGAGCCAGTATCTGATTGGCTGATAGCATCTGAGCTGGGGTTTGTCCCTAACACTGTAAAATCATCTTCAGACAATGTTTTTGTAAACAGGAATCTGCACTGACAATATTTACTTATCGTGTAAATGTTGTGTTCACACAGTCCTGGGTTTCATAGTGACTTTTTCAGAGTTTTGTTCTAACATTTGCTAAACTAAGATTGCATAAAGCACGTTGTAAAGCTGTCTCACTTAAGTTTACTGTCTGAAGTTTAAGTGATTGCTTAAAACCACGTTTCCTAATCACTCCCTTCTGAAGTTAACTACAACGTTCACCACCAGGTGGCAGCATTTTACCAGTGGGTGTGTTCAAATGGCAACCTCCAGCTCCCCACTTCCCCTAAGCACAACATCAAATCACTTTTATCGTCACATCACATGTGCAGGTACACTGGTACATGTGAGTGAAATTCTTGTGTGTGAGCTTCACAAGCAACAGAGGTGTGCAAAGAACAATAACATAAGAACAAGCAAATATAAGAATGGCTAAATCTGAGAATTATATGAATAAATATAAGTACAATATAAGAGTGTATGCATATTACTGAATGTGTATACTAAATATGTATGTCTACGTGTGTGTGTGTGTGTGTGTCTATGAAGTGTTCAGCAGTCTGATGGCCTGATGGAAAAAGCTTCTCTCAGTCTGCTGGTTCGGGACTGGATGCTGCAGAACCTCCTTCCTGATGGAAGCAGTCTGAACAGTTTATGGCTGCGGTGACTCGAGTCCTCGATGATCCTCCCCGCTTTCCTCAGGCAGCACTTCCTGTAGATGTCCTGGAGGGAGGGAAGCTCACCTCCAATTATCCTTTCAGAACACCGAACTACTCTCTGGAGAGCTTTGCTTTGAAGTTAGTGTTGCTATGGACAATATCATGGTAGCCAAAACAAAAGAACAAATAAAACATCAACAACAGGACACAAATGGAGTGTAAAATGCTTTAAAAATAGAGTCCGTCTTTTATGTACAGTCTTTGTGATATTCAGCCCTTTCTCTAACAAACGTGTTTTAGCGTCTACTTGAGGTCCGCCTCCCTAAACCCCACTGTTTCCTGATTGGCCAGATTGATTGTCAGCATGTCGCATGCTGACATCAGCGCGTCACTAAAGAAGTAAGAACAGTGTAAAGTGAGCGTGTAGACGTGGTCAAACCTGAGCTCGTGAACAAAAAGTAACCTGTTGGCCACATGTGATGCAAACATCCATCACTTTCACTTTTCGCCTTTTTGGTTCTGTGGATTTTGCTTTAATTTCTCTTCGATGTTTTTTAAATCGATGCTCAAACTGAAGTTAGAGTAAAACGCTGACATTTCTACTCTGGACTTGTTTTCAAATAAGTGTCTGTGAGCTGCAGAAAGGTCAGAAAATCTGAACAGAAAAATCATAAGTGTGACGACCCCACAGATTTAGCTGGAGACCTTTAGCAGGAGCCTGACCCCTATGCTGGGGAGCGCTGGACTGAACTACTGCTCGCACTTCTGCACTTTCACATACGTTTTTTGTGCAGTTTTGCATGCTGGGTTTTTTGTTTGTTTGTTTTTGTTTTTTACAGCGCATTGTGTTCTGCGCCCTGATCGACTGTAGACCATTATCAATCAATCCGTGTCTCCTGTGCAGTACAGAATGCGTTCAGCTTGTCAAATGTATGTAAATCTTCGATCCTACAGTGTAACTCTGAAGTGCTGGACTGTGTGTTTGTAAGTTTTCTCCCCAACAAACACAAAAAATGTCGTTTTGCACCCTCAATTTGGTTTCATTCTACAACACTGGACTTTTTTTCTATGAAGTTTTGAAGTTTGAGAGAGTTTAAACAAGAGGGGAAAGTGTGGAAAAGTTCATGTGTATCTGAGAAAAGTATATAAAGCCTGTAGTGAGGGGTTTTACAGCCTTAAAACACCTATAATAATTTTAAAAAACTAAAGTTGGCTACTTCGCGGGTTATTTTGGAACGTAACACCCGCGATAAACGAGGGACCACTGTATCAGGAGAAAATGGCTGAAAATGTGCAGTGAACGTTGGGCTTTTATTTGGAAAGTTGAGTCCAGACGACCGGATATGCAAAACTGTGGCGATGCTAGCTTAAACCGCCACAAATTAACTCTAAACGTGTTAAATACCGTCAAAATGTCCATTTTTGGGTGGATGCTTCTGTTTTAGAGCGGTATTTGGTCCTCTCCGTGTGTTTCTCTGCACTTTATTTAATAAGTTGTTCAGTTTAAACAACTTTTCCGGGTGTTGCCAAAAGCTAACGATAAGCTAAGCTACGTGCCTCCT